GCCCGAGTCTTGCCATCCTCTCTTCTAAGAAGCGTTCTGACGCTACATCTTCCCAGACAGACTTGCTCATTCTTCCGGCAGTCCATGGTAGCGTCCGTCTCCTCTGCCAACACCATGATTCAAAGGCATCGATTCTCTCTCGGTCAACCTTATTCATCGTCTCTAAAAGGCCTCAGTACCTGCCACCCCCCACCCAACACACACACACACACCCCCACACACACACTCCAGGACAGCAGGCAGGCAACCACCCACTGAATGGCTGACAGAGTTTGCTTCTCTGTTCCCTGCTGAAGGGGGCTAGCAGATCAAGCCCCTCCCCATCCCCTTGCTCATCCTCATCCTCTCCGGACAAGAAACCAAAGGGGAGAAATCCCATTCTGCAAACATGGCCCGTGCTGCACCCCAAGCATCCCTCGCAGAGGCTGCTAGCATCTTGAGTCTGCTCTCTGGGCCTCGCCCCTGTTGCTAAAGCCCCGGCAAGCATTCTCCTTAGGAGACCCTCCCTCCTGAGAAGGACGACGGAGGGTGGAGAAGAGAAGCCAGCTACTGGCTGCAGAAACAGGCCTGATTCATTTTTCCCCTTGAAGGCTCACAGGCTGCACTGGCTGCGCCTGCAGACCAACCAGCACCTTGCCCAGGAGGGGAAGTTAGGCAAGGAGCTTTGCACCGAAGAAAAGTCTGGTCTAAAGCCTGTCGTCTTTGACATCGCCAGATCTCTGAAGAATCGCCAGGCACGTGGCTCTCCAGAAAAAAAGGGAGGGGCAGAGAAGAAAGGGTGGAATTGAAACACTCCTAAATCTCCCAACTGAACCATCAGACACACTTCCTCCCCCCCAAAAAATGTTTTCATAGCACACCTACTACTCGCCCCTCGTGGTCTCACACACGATGAAACGGACCAGGGGTACAAGTCTCCTTTTTCCAGGGGTCACATGAAGAAAAAGTCACACACACCCCAGAAACCAGGGGTGGGGGAGGGACACTGATTCCCCGGGGACAGACTGCAGAGGGAGAGGGGAGGCTTGGGGTGGGCTTGGAGGTACACAGCAGGGAGATGTCCATCTTTTCCAGCACAGTTTATACAGTGCCGGAGAAACTTAGAAGGGTTACCCTTCCGCTGCAAACACGTTTCTCCTTGATACGATCACCACTGCTCATCCTGTGCACCCGAACCACGAACCCTCTTCCCAAAATGTCTGCTCTTTGGAGCAAGCTTTGGGGTTTCACGGAAAACTACAGAATCAGGCAGGGCGGTGCACCCCTCACCCCCCCAACCCCTGTTAGCCAGAGAGAGAGAGAGGGCGAGAGAGACAGAAGAGGAACACCTTAAAAGAGACCCCGCCAACCGACGTGCCAAAGAAACACCACCACCCCACCCGCGCGCCCCGGAACAACAAAGTGCAAAGGATTATTCCGAAAACGCAGAGAGCATCGCCTCCCCTCTG